TGGCTCCGGCACCCCGGGGTTCTAATCCCGGCTGGGGCGCCGGGTACTAGTCCCGGTTGTTCCTCTTCCAGTCCAGCTCTCTGCTGTGGCCCGGGAGTGCACTGGAGGATGGCCCAACTGCTTGGGCCCTGCACCCGCATGGGAGACTGGAAGGAAGCACCTGGCTCCTGGCTTCGGATTGGTGCAGTGCTGGCCATAGCGGCCATTAGGGGAGTGAACCTTTCTCTCTCTCTCACTGTTTATAACTCTCTCTCTCTGTCTCTCTCTCTCACTGTCTAACTCTGCTTGTCAAAAAAAAAAAATCGTAATTAAAGATTAACACGCAATAACCAAGAACACAGAAGTGTCCAAAATAGTAAGAAAAAAAATGGGGCAGGGGGAAGGGGATTTTGTGATGTAGGGGAAAATTACTACTCAAGACTTTTTTTCCAACAGATTATCAGTTCGATTTTTATATATTTTCTTCTGTAAATAAGTATTATATGTGTGTTTTATGCATATAAAGAAAGAAAATCTATAAATATTTTTATGTGAAACAAGTTATCTCAAAATCTGGTTGCAAACTATTTGAATAAGGGGAAAAAGTCATACATATGACCTATACTGGTAATAATCACCAACAATTCTTAAATCCCAAATGCCAGTTTCAGATTTGTGCATTCTTATTTTGTTTTTACATATTTTATTTATTTTTTATTTGAGAGGTAGAGTTACAGTCAGAGAGTGGTAGAGACAGAAAGGTCTTCCATCTGCCAGTTCACTCCCCAAATGGACTCAAAGGCCAGAGCTGGGCTGATCCGAAGCCAGAAGCCAGCAGCTTCTTCCGGATCTCCCATGTAGGCACAGTGGCACAAGCACTTGGACCATCTTTTATTGATTTCTCAGGCCATAGCAGAGAGCTGGATCAGAAGAGGAGCAGCTGGGACACGAACTGGTGTCCATATGGGATGCCAGTGCCTCAGGCAGAGGCTTAGACTACTACACCACTGTCGCTCCCCCTCTTCGCGGAGGAACGACACAGGACCCTGCGTTGTTCTTTTGTCTGCTCGGCCCTCCCCGGGTTTGCTGCTGGTTCTTCCTGGGTTGGCTACCGTCCCTTCCACCTCCATGGAAGGGCGGTTCCCCCTAGCCACTTTCCTCACTTCCGCGGGGGAGCAGCACACCGCCGGCCAGCTCTCTCGGGGGCTGCACAGGTGTTCCTTCAGCTAGATGTTCCCCTTAGATGTTCCTGGTGCATGTTGTCTCTCTCCTCCTTTATAGTCCTCTTCCACCAATCCCAACTCTGCTACCCACACGCCGAGTACGCTGCTCTCCTCCAATCAGGAGCAGGTCCTGCTGCTTATTGGTTGAACTGGAGGCAGCTGTGTAGAAGCTGTTACTCCCTTCTCAGCGCCGTATTGTGGGAGAGCAGATGCATAGAATAAGTCTTAATTCCAGTAACTTAGTCTAGTCCGAGTTGCTCCCCACACACCACAGCACCAGCCCCTATAATTAAGACTTAAAGAGAAATTCTGACACACACTATAAGATAGATGAACCTTGAAGATATTATGTTAAGTCAAATAAGCCCAATCACAAAAAGGATGGATTCTATACATTCCACTTATATGAGGTATCAAGTGTAATCAAAGTCACTGAAACATAATGGTGTTTGCGAGGAACCAAGACAGTAAGAAATGAGTTTTCTTAATTAAAAAAAATTTATCTGGGGTCAATCCTGTGGCTCATCTTGTTGATGCCCCAGCCTGCAGTGCTATCATCCCATATGGGCGCTGGTTTCAAATCCCGACTGCCCCATTTCTGATCCAGCTCCTTGATGATACACCTGGGAAGGCAGTGAAAGATGGCCCAAGTGCTTGTGCCCCTGCGCCCACGTGGGAGACCCAGAAGGGGCTCCTGGTTCCTAGCTCAGATTAGCTCAGCTCAGCTTCGGCTGTTGTGGCCATTTGGGGAGTGAGCTAGTAGATGGAAGACCTCTCTCTCTGTCTCTACCACTCTCTGTAACTCTGTCTTTAAAATAAATGAAAAATAAATGTTTAAAAAATTATTTTACTTTTTTACTTGAGAAGCAGAGACACATAAAGTCAGAGGGAGTGTGTGCGCTCTCACTGCTGGTTCACTTCCCAAATGTCTGCAATAGCTGGGAGCTGGGAAGTAGTTCAGATCGCCCACATGGATGGCAAGGACCATGCCACTTGAGCCATAACCTGCTGCCTCCTGGGGTGTACATTATCAAGAAACTGGAATTGGGAGCAGAGTCCGGACTAGAATTCATTTAACTTCAGTTGGAACACCAGTGTCCTAATGAACATCTTAACTGCTAGACCAAACACCTGCAGTGGACGTTGTTTTTTCTTTTAAAGATTTATTTATTTGAAAGACAGAGAGAGAGAGAGAGAGGGAGAGAGATCTTCCATTTGCTGGTTCCCACCCCAAATGGCTGAAACAGCCAGGTCTGGGCCAGGCCAAAGCCATGAAACAGGAACTCCATCCAGGTCTTACACATAAGTGGCAGGGACCCAAGTCCTTGGGTCATCATCTGATGCTTTCCCTGGTGCATTAGCAGGAAGCTGGATGGGGAACAGAGCAGTCAGTGTTAGGGTCGAGAAGCATCCGCAGCCCAAGGAACGACTCCAAGAGACACTCTCATGCAATCAGCAAGGGGTTTGTTGATCCAGCATGCTGGGGCTCTCTGAACACGCAGGAACAGAGCAGCCCCGAGAAATCAAGGGTCAGGGTTTTTATAGGGTTTTCAGAGACATTCCACACATTATGGTTCCATTTAGGAGATGGGATGGTTTGTGGATGGGAGGGTGGTTATGGGGGGAAGAACCACTATAATCCAGAAGTTATACTTCTGAAATTTATATTCAATAAAAATGTTCTATTAAAAATAAAGAGTTATTCCCAAGTTCCTAGCAGCCAAATCTACAATAGAAAAGATGTCCATAAACTGAAGTGTGGATAAAGCAAATTTTATATATACATAAAATAATATGAATCAGCCACAAAATTGAAATCCTGAGATTTGTGATAAAATGGATGCAAATGGACATTAATATGCTAACTGAAAAGACAGAGTCAGAGGGCAGGCACTGTGGTGCAGTATAGGTCAATTTACCACCTGTGGTGCAAGCAACCCATATGGGTGCTGATTCTAGCCCTGGCTGCTCTTCCGATCCAGCTCTCTGCTATGGCCTGGGAAAGCAGTAGAAAAATGGTTCAAGTCCTTGAGTCCCTACACCCACGTGGGGGACCCGGAGGAAGCTCCTGACTCCTAGCTTTGCATTGGCGCAGCTACGGCCATTGCAGCCAACTGGGTGGTGAACCAGCAGATGGAAGACCTCTCTCTCTGTCTCTACCTTTCTCTGTAACTCTGTCTTTCAAATAAATAAAATAAATCTTTTTTTTTGACAGGCACAGTGGACAGTGAGAGAGAGAGACAGAGAGAAAAGTCTTCCTTTGCCATTGGTTCACCCCACAGTGGCCGCTGTGGCTGGTGCGCTGTGGCCGGCGCACTGCACTGATCCAAAGCCAGGAGCCAGGTGCTTCTCCTGATCTCCCATGTGGGTACAGGGCCCAAGGACTTAGGCCATCCTCCACTGCACTCCCGGACCACAGCAGAGAGCTGGACAGGAAGAGGAGCAACCGGGACAGAATCTGGTGCCCCGACTGGGACTAGAACCCAGCGTGCTGGTGCTGCAGGTGGAGGATTAGCCTATTGAGCTGCAGCGCCAGCCAAAATAAATCTTAAAAAAAAAAAAAGACAATAAAAACATTTCTGAGCAGCTAAATTATCCAGCTTATGACTATCTGAAAACTTTTAATGTTTACATTTTACGCCACAGTACCTTAATGCTTACTTAACAGACAACGTTTTAAATGACTCACCAGTTAAATAATTCAACCCTTCCCTCTCTAAAGAAATTTGGAGAAAACTGACAATACAGGATTGTGCACATTCCATATTTATCCCCTAGTTTTGCTTAGTTTCAGGTGCCTAGCTTCATAAACCTGGATGTCAGTTTGAAAGCTGAGTAAACTGCATCAAAGAAACTTTAAGGATTATCTTGGACATGGTAGTCGGTACAGGCAACTCAAGGACCAGAGAATGTTATTAGCACCTAACTGTATAGCTGATGGCAGAATCCACAAGTTTCTTAAGTCTCCACTGCTGATGAAATAAAATTCTAAATATGACCAATTCCTCTGAGCATGACCAAGCTAACAGAAGAGCTATCGCTGAATGTGGTAACACCATCTTTTCTTCACCCAGGAACCAGGTTGCATAAGCATGAATTTCCTGGAGGACAACACTTAAGTAATGCCCAGCGAGTGCCCAGGGATAGATCATATTAGAAGTACAGCAATGTTCTGAGCGCCAAGCCACGTTTGGAGCAGTCTGGCAGCCTTTCTGGGGTCTCCTACACTGGGTACAAACTGAGCAGGCTCTCCTGCCGTCAGTCCCCCTGCCTCTGCCCCGCCGCGCCCCTTAGGAGGGGCTCAACGTCTGGAGGCAGCTCGGGGTAATAAAAAACGGTACTAGGTTTGAATTTTGGCTTTGAGAAAAACTGTTCTGGGCCTTGAGGCCCGAGCTCTGTTCCGGCGGAATGCCTATGAGCATTTACATGTATGGGATTTGTTCATGTGCTCCGCATAAGCTGGTTCCTTCTTTAGCTCCTGAGAACTTGAAGGGCTCTGATTTATAATATTTCAGGAGGTCCTTTAAGCCGACAGCAAAGTCAGGGTGAGGAATCCAGGCAACAAGTAGGGTACAGGTTACTCCACTAAAAAAGCCAGCCGTGCTTCCTGGACAAGGAGAGACCCTTACAAGGCATTTTTCAAATTTCCTTCCATTTTCCCTGGAGTTCTGTGTTTTCCAAGTGGTCATTTCCACAGCTTGAACACCCCTTCCCAACTCTCACAGAACAGGAGCGTTCCAGCACAGGCCAGCCCCTCCCTCTCAGAACCCCAGAAACCCCGGGCTCTTACGTGCTTACTTTTCCAGCTATCTTCTTGAACTAGGCAGGCCGTGAAGCTCTAACGGTCTCAGAAACCCCCAAACGCCAGGCCCGACTCGCGGGAAGGTGTCGGCGGGTGGGTGACGCGCCCGGACGCCGAGCGTTTCCCCCAGCGGCGGTGGGGGGCTGGCCCACAATCCTTTGCGAGGGCGGGAAGTCTGGGGGGCAGGCTGGGGGTGTGGACGGCTGGTGAGGAGAGCCAAGAGACTTGCACCCTAACGGCACACTGGTTAGTCTTTCTATGGCTGTTTCCTGGACTTTCCATTCCAAACGTCCAGTTACCGGTCAGTGTACCCTCATTTTCCCACTGCTCCCATTCGGGGAGATCATTTCTATAAAATGACCCAGCCTTCCATGAGACAGGCCAGGGCGAAGGCGAGGAAATGTGTGCAGAGCCCACTGGGCCTGGCTGTCCACCCTACGGTCTAAATCCATTTTTAAGTCATAATATACGTCTGATTAGGAAACCACACACGAGATTTGGAGGAATCGCAGTGGAAATGCCGCGGATGCGAACGTTGGCAGATCTTCACACGGCCGCGAAGGCCAGACCCGCAAGCGGCCAGGCCGCAGACCCGCCCCCTCCGCGCGTTGCGTGTGTCGTCACACGCACGCCCGTCTCTGGGCGCGAGTTTCTGCGGTCCGAAGTATAGCCCCACCCTGCGCGCGCGGAGGGGCCGTGTTTTGAAATGCAGCGGGGTTTAGCGAGTTTTCCGCTGTCGCCAGCGGTGCGCGTGAAGCTGGTGACTGCGGGCTTCCAGACGGCTGAGGAGCTCCTGGAAGTGAAGCCTTCGGAGCTCAGCAAAGGTAACTGCTGAGGTGGCGACGCGCTGGCCGCTGTCGGAGCCGCCCGCGGCGGGGTGCTCCCGCCTGCAAGGCTGATGCAGCCCAGGCTCCGCCGCCACGTCTCTCCGCCCCTCATGGCCACGTTTAGGCCGAGAAACACTTTCTTGACTCCGCTTAACAGTTGTCTGGTCACACGAATTGTGGCTGCTTTCTTTGTCTTAGCGCCTCCTGGATGAGTTGAGGATTCTCTCATGCCCAAAAGAACGCTTTTACTAGGATTTTGTGCAATATGCAGATGAGAGAGCCGGTCTCTTGTTTTGAAGAGGTTAAATGACTTTTCATAACTAGGTTAGGAACTAGTGGAGACAGAACGGGAAACTAGAAAGACTACCTAATCCTTTTTTTTTTTTTTTTTTTTTTTTGACAGGCAGAGTGGACAGTGAGAGAGGGAGAAAGGTCTCCTTTGCCGTTGGTTCACCCTCCAATGGCCGCCACGGCCGGCGCACCACGCTGATCCAAAAGCAGGAGCCAGGTGCTCCTCCTGGTCTCCCATGGGGTGCAGGACCCAAGCACTTGGGCCATCCTCCACTGCACTCCCGGACCACAGCAGAGAGCTGGCCTGGAAGAGGAGCAACCGGGACAGAATCCGGCGCCCGGACCAGGACTAGAATCTGGTGTGCTGGTGCCGCTAGGCGGAGGATTAGCCTGTTGAGCTGCCTGCTGGCCCAAGACTAGCTAATCTTATTCTCCGCTCCAAAATTCCAAGGATGAGAATTCTTTGAGACATGTAGGATTCGTGTAGGTAGAGCCACTGAATGAGAAAAGAAGTAGAAAGAAGACACCCCTTGTGTAATTCACTGAAAAGACTAAAACCTTACATTCTGAGCGCCGTGGTTGTATGTATTGGAGGGAACCACTGCATCCTGTAATGCTCTCGCTGTGCATATTGCAATATGGGATGCCCAGACCTGCGCATCTCCATGGAAGAAGATGAAACAGACTTCAAGCTAATGCCCTTAACAGTGGGAGATAAGGTTTCAGTTTACCACTGAACAATAACTTGTAGACCCAACCTTAACTATTTAAGTAGTCATCCCACAGACTGTGTCCCCTAAAGTTTGATGGGCTCTTTTTCTTTCAATAAATAGGGTTTCCGAAGAAGAAATGAGAGACCCAGTAATAGTTACTAGCAATTATTGATTGTTTTGGATGACATTGGTATTTATCAAGCCTTTTTTTTTTTTAATGTTTACTTACTTGAGAGGCAGAGTTACAGAGAGAAGGAGACACAGAGAGGTCTTCCATCCGCTGATTTACTCCCCAAATGGCCACAATGGCCGGAGCTGGGCTGATCTGAAGCCTGGAGCCTCTTTTGGGTCTCTCCTGTGGGTGCAGGGGCCTAAGCACCTGGGCCATCCTCTGCTGCCTTCCCAGGCTGTAGCAGAGAGATTGGAAAAGGAGCAGCTGGGACTAGAACCAGTGCCCATATGGGATGCTGGTGCTGCAGGTGGATGCTTTAACCTACTGTGCCACAATGCTGGCCCCTTACCAAGATTTTTACGTGCATTGTTTTCATTTTTATTTTACAAAAGAAAAAAATGTGAGGTACAAAAATTTAACATAGTAAGTGGTGCAGTCAGGATTTACAATGTGAACAATCTGACTTAAACGTGCTTTTTCTTGGGCATCAACTTTATTTGAAAAAGAGAGGAGGCTGGCATTGTGGCATAGCAGGTTAGGCCACAGCTTGAGATGCCAGCATTCTATATGGTCACCAGTTCCAGACCTGGCTACTCCACTTAACAATTTAGCCCCCTGCTAATGTGCCTGGGAAAGCAGTGGAAGATGGCCCAAGTGTTTGGACCCCTGCACCCACATGGGAGACCAAATGAAGCTCCTGGCTTTGGTCTGTCACAGCCCCAGCTGTTGTGGCCATTTTGGGAGTGAACCAGCAGACAGATTTCTTTCTAACTCTTTCAAGTAAAAAAAAAATTTTTTTGACAGGCAGAGTCAGACAGTGAGAGAGAGAGAGAGAGAGAGAGAGAGAGAAAGGTCTTCCTTCCATTGGTTCACCCCCCCAAATGGCTGCTACGGCCAACGAGCTGAGTCGAACTGAAGCCAGGAGCCAGGTGTTTCCTCTTGGTCTCCCGTGCAGGTGCAGGGCGGGCCCAAGCACTTGGGCCATCCTCTACTGCCTTCCCGGGCCACAGCAGAGAGCTGGACTGGAAGAAGAGCAACCGGGACTAGAACCTGGGGTACCAGCACCACAGGCAGAGGATTAGCCAAGTGAGCTGCAGTGCTGGCGAAAAATAATTTTTTTTAAAAGTAAGTTATTCCAACTATTGGTTCACTCCTCAAACACTTTCGTCAGTCAGGACTGGGCCAGGCTGAAGTCAGTAACCTGGATTCAGTCTGAATCTCTTATGTGGGTGGCAGGGGCCCAAGTACGTGAGCCATCACTGGCCACCTCCCAAGATGTGCATAAGCAGGAAGCAGAATTGGAAGCTGAGCTGGACTCAAACTCAGGGACTCCAATTTGGGATGCAGGTGTCTCAGGTGGTGGCTTAACCTGCTATGTTACCACTCTGGCCCCACTGTTACCTTTTCTTACTACCAAAATTATAGTTCATATACTTAAGTCAGTCACTGATTTATCAAACTGACATGATGCCAGACTCACCATTGTTTGTTTCTGTAGCATCTTTTCTGTTTTCAGGCCACATTGTCAAATAGAAATGAAACCGTGTAGTTGAGGAGAATAAATATAATGTTAAAAATATTTGTGCATTGGGGCCGGCGTCGTGGCACAGTAGGTTAATCCTTTGCCTGCGGCGCTGGTATCCCATATGGGCACCAGTTCTGGTCCCAGCTGCTCCACTTCCAATCCAGCTCTCTGCTATGGCCTGGGAATGCAGTAGAAGATGGGCCAGGTCCTTGGGCCCCTGCACCAATGTGGGAGACCTGGAAGGAGCGCCTGGCTCCTGGCTTTGGATTGGTGCAGCTCCAGCCGTTGCAGCTATTCAGGGAGTGAACCTCAGAAGGAAGGCCTTTCTGTCTCTCCCTCTCACTGTCTGTAACTCTACCTCTCAAATAAAAATGAATAAAATCTTTAAAAAAAATTTGTGCATTGAATAATTGTTCTCATTAAAAGTTTGGAGTGATTTAGGAGTTTATTTAAAAAAATTTTTTTTGAGTTACAGAGAGAAAGGGAGAGACAGAGATCTTCTATCTGCTGGTTCACTCTCCAAATGGCTGCAATGGCTGGGGCTGGGCCTTGCCAAAGCCAGGAGCCTGGAATTCCATCCTGGTCTTCAAGTGGGTGGTAAGGACCTGAACACTTTGGCTGTCTTCCGCTGCTTTCCCAGGTTCATTAGCAGGGAGCTGGAGCTAGATCAGAAGTGGAGCAGCCTGGATTAACCCAGTGCACTTATAGGATGTTGGCATCATAGGTGGAGGCTTAACCTGCTGTGCCACGATGTCAGCCCCCGCCATGAAATGAAATTTTTATATCAATGTTTCCATGAAAAGTTCTTTTGAATAATACAAGGCAGGGAGGCACAGTGTTGTGACACAGTGGGTTGAGCCACTGCTTGCATTGTTAGAACACAAGTTTAAGTCCTTAATGCTCTGCTGCTCCAACTCCCTGCCCTTTTTTTTTTTTAAGATTTATTTATTTATTTGAAAGGCAGAGTTACAGAGAGGCAGAGGGAGAAAGGAGAGAGAAAGAGAAGTCTTCCATCCACTGGATCACTCCCCAGTAGGCCACAAAGGCCAGAGCTGAGCTTCTTCCACATCTCCTACGTGGTTGCAGGGGCCCAAGCAGTTGAGCCATCTTTCATTGCTTTCCCAGGCCATAGCAGAGAGCTGGATTGGAAGTGGAGCATTTGGGGCTTGAACCAGCGCCCATGCAGATGCCAGCACTGTAGGTGGCAGCTTTACCTGCTAGGTCACAGCATTGGCCCCAAGACGGGACTCTTAGATGGAAGTGACTGAAATACGCTTTGTACCTTCAAAATAGAAGGAACTGCTCTGACTGCAGGAGATGTGTCCCAGTTTTGTCCAGATTACCTGAACACTGTCTGTTTTTCTGAAGGGAATTTAAATATCTTCTACACTGCTAGCCACACTACTTTTTTTTTTGAAAGGCAGAGTTACAGAAAGAGAGAGAAAGAGAGCACGTACCATCTGCTGGTTCACTCCCCAAATGGCTTTCCTAAGCCATTATCAGGGAGCTAGATCAGAAGTGGAGCAGCTGGGTCTTGAACTGGCACCCATGTGGGATGCTGGCATTGCAGGCAGTTTTGCCTGCCACAATGCTGACATGTATTTTTTTTTAAAAGATTTATTTATTTATTTGAAAGTCAGAGTTACACGGAGAGAGAAGGAGGGGCAGAGAGGGAGAGAGAGACAGAGAGGTCCTCTATCCACTGGTGCTGGCCACAATGGCCGGAGCTGCACTGATCTGAAGCCAGGAGCCAGGACCTTCTTCCAGGTCTCCTACGAGGGCACAGGGGACCAAGGACCTGGCCATCTTCTACTGCTTTCCCAGGCTATAGCAGAGAGCTGGACCAGAAGTGTAGTAGCCGGGACTTGAACAGGCATCTGTCTGTAGGGGATGCCGGCACTGCAGGTGGCAACTTCATCTGCCACGCCACAGCACTGGCCCTGACATGTACTTCTTAAAGTTATACTTTGTTTTAGGAAGTTAAAGAAGTCATTCATCCTTGTTTGAAAAAGCATATGTATATTTTATGAGAGCAAGATAGTGGTGGCTTCATAAGAGACAGTGAAAGTACAATTTACTTCTATGTCCTTTATTTTCATTTTATTTGAAAGGCAGAGAGACAGGGGGCTTCCATCTTCTGGTTCACTCCCCAAATACCCTCAATAGCGGGGCCTGGGTCAGGCTGAAACAAGGACTAGGAACTCAGTCTAGGTCTTCCATGAGGGTGGCAAGGACCCAAGTACTTAAGCCATCACCACCACTTCCAAGGGTGCACACTAATCAGAAGCTGGAATAGGGAGTAGAGCCCAGACTTGAAACCAGGCACTCTGAACTGGAACGCAGGTCTCTTAACCGCCGTGCCAAATACCTACCTGTTTCTACTTCTGAGATGCTTTTGTGGATACTCAGCTATAACTTCTTTTAATTTTGTTTCTGAGGTAATAAATATTTATGTGATGACTAATAAAACAGATGCCTTTATTAAAATGAAGAAGTAAAAAGTTAATAGTAGATAGTTAAGATGTTACTTTTTTTCAAGATTTATTTCTTTGAAAGGTGGAATTAGAGAAAGAAAGAGAGAGAGAGAAAAAAAAATCTTCCATCCACTGGTTCACTCCCTGAATGATTACCATGACCGAGGCTGGGCCAGGCTAAAGCCAAGAGCCAGGAGCTTCTTCTAGGTCTCCCACAAGGATGCAGGGGCCCAAGCACCTGGGCCATCTCTCACTGCTTTCCCAGCTGCATTAGCTGGAAGCTGGATCAGAAGTGCAGCAACTGGGACTTGAACTGGCATCCATGTGGAATGCCATCACAGGCATTAACCAGCTACTTCTCAACACTGGTCCAAGATGTTAGATTTTTACGGTTTCTTTGTACTCTACTCATAGCATCAGTGTTATCTAAAAATCAAGATTAGTGAAACCCATTATGTGTTAGACTGTTTTAAATTTCTGAAGTCAGTATTTTTTTCTTATTTTCATTTCAGAAGTTGGGATATCTAAAGAGGAAGCCTTAGAAACTCTGCAAATTATAAGAAGAGAATGTCCTACAAATAAACCAAGATATGCTGGTACATCTGAGTCAGGCAAGAAGTGTACAGCATTGGTACTTCTTGAACAGGAGCATACCCAGAGCTTCATAATTACCTTCTGTTCAGCAGTAGGTAATATTCTTATGAAATAAGAATATAATATTCTTAATGAAAACAACAGAAATTTGTGGTGCACCAGGTGTTGGAAAAACACAATTATGGTAAAATAAAATGTTCCCCTCTGAAGGGTGGGCTTAATAAACATTGATTAAGACAGTTGTTCTGTGGGTTTACTATTGGGAGACTCCTGTGTGAGTGTTTCAAGCGAAAACCAGTTTACCATTTGTGTTACTTCAGTGCCCCATCTTGATAAATTGATGTAATTATCTTACAGGAAATATTTCCTTGAAACTTTGTAGTATGGTCATTAGGATAAATGTGCAGTCTTTTACTTTATTCACTTCTTAAAATATAGTTGAAAGTCAATTGTTTGAAAGTAAATTAATGTATAATAAGAAAAGAACAGAAGCTGTAAAAACCATTAAAAAGTCCATAATTGTGCTTTTATAGGCATATCTCCACCTTAATCCAAGCATATTCATATATGAGTATATCTGGGGCCATGGAGAAACAGCTGTCTGTTACTCTGGAGAGTATAAAAATATTTTCATTCATTTATTTTAGCAATACTAAATAATAATTATCTGGAGTTTGGTTATCATGATAAAGAGTTGGTCATTTGATGTAATTGTCTTAACAGCATGCAGCTGGCAGTGGATGTGCAGATACCAGAATGTTTTGGAGGAGTAGCAGGTGAAGCAGTTTTTATTGATACAGAGGGAAGTTTTATGGTTGATAGAGTGGTAGAGCTTGCTACTGCCTGCATTCAGCATCTTCACCTAATAGCAGGAGCACACATGGAAGAGGGTAAGTTAGCAAAAAGGCCCCCTTTTTTTCTGTACAATAAAAGTAATTTACATTTTTGCCCATCACAGACCTCAGCAAGAGGCCATTTGGAACATGAAGCTTAATGTCTTGACTGTACTATTGGTAAACTCTCAGATGTCTGTTACAAAATGAGAAGGGCCGCAGCCTGATCTGACCTTTTTTTTTCTGCTTTTATGACCCTTGCTTTTTACTGCAGGGGCTTTGTTTCTCAATGTCTGACTTCAAATTAATATACTCCATCCTGCCAGGTGTAAGCTAAAGTTGGACACCTTAATATAAGCACATGTTAAAATGCATTCAGTATATATTGATTTCCACATTGGTTTTTCCAAAACCAAATGTAGCTATGGCTATGAAAAGCACTTCTGGAAATGTTTGAAATGCTACACTGACTGACCTTTTGGAGCTTTGAGTAGTATATAATTGCATTAATTGTATCATTAAAGTGTTTGAGAAGCTTTTTTTTTGTGCTTACAATGTGGAAATACTTTATTTTTAAAGATTTATTTATTTGAAAGGCAGAGTTAAAAGATGAAAAAATAAGGATTAAAAAAAAATAAACAAATGAAAGGCAGACTTAGAGGCAAAGACAGAGATCTTCCATCTGTTGATTCATTTCCAAAAAGGCTGCAATGGCCAGGGCTGGACAAGGCTGAAGCCAGAAGTCTAGAACTCTTTTTGAGTTTCTTTTGTGAGTGGCAGGGGCCTAAGTACTTGGACCATCCTCTGCTGCTTTCCCAGGCACATTAGCAGGGAGCCGGATTGGAAGTAGAGCAACCAGGACTCAAACCGACACTCATATGGGGTGCCAGCATTGCAGGCAGCAGCTTAACCCAACTGTGCCACAATGACAGCCCCAAGTATTTGATTTTAAAGCAAATTTTGAAAAGGTAATTTGTGTTCCGGCTTTTTGCTTTCAATTTTAAAAGTAAATGGTTTCTTGGCCGGCACTGCGGCTCAATAGGCTAATCCTCCGCCTAGTGGCGCCAGCACACCGGGTTCTAGTCCTGGTTGGGGCGCCGGATTCTGTCCCGGTTGCCCCTTTTCCAGGCCAGCTCTCTGCTATGGCCCGGGAGTGCAGTGGAGGATGGCCCAAGTCCTTGGGCCCTGCATCCGCATGGGAGACCAGGAGAAGCACCTGGCTCCTGCCTTCGGATCAGCGCGGTGCGCTGGCTGTGGCAGCCATTGGAGGGTGAACCAATGGCAAAGGAAGACCTTTCTCTCTGTCTCTCTCTCTCTCTCACTGTCCACTCTGCCTGTCAAAAAAAAAAAAAAAGTAAATGGTCTCTGATTTGACTTTTTAAAATTTATTTATATATATTTTTTCTTGAATCCTGACATGTATACTGCTGGATTCTACCTTGTAGTTTTCTCTATAGTTTCTCATATGTACAAATTTTTAAAAATTTGTTTACTAAGAGACAGCTCTCATCTTCTCTAGCACTCCCCGGATACCTGTAATGGCCACAGGCAGGCCAGGCTAAAGCTGGGAGCTGGGAACAGGGTCCAGATCTCCCACTTGGGGGCCAGGAATCCAACTACTTGAGCCATCACCTGCTGCCTCCTAGGGTATGAGTTAGCAGGGAAACTGGAATCGGGAGCAGAGCCAAGAAACATGCACTCTGATATGTGATGCAAGCATCTTAACAGGCATCTTAACTACGAGGCCAGGTGCCTGTCCTAGCTTTGACTATTGTCTTTTGCTTTATTTTAGTTTAGTTTTGGCAGTCCTTATTCTTTTCTCTAGATGTTTAAAAAAATGTTTTTCTTTGGATGTTTGTATTTCCCTTAGATGAATATAATCAGCTTGGCATTTTTATTATTACTTTTTAAAGATTTATTAATTTATTTGAAAAGCAGAATGACGGAGACAGAGATCTTCCATCCACTGGTTCACTCCTCAAATTTCTGCAACAGCCAGAGCTGGGCCAGGAGTGGAAGGAATCCGTGGTAGGCGGTGGCTTAACCCACTTGCATCTCCACATTGTCCCTCACATTTTTATTTTCATGTCTCATTTAGTATTAGTATTAATTGTTGTATCTACTAAAATTTAGTATTTAGTATGAATTGTGTATCTACTAAAAGACCTTTGTATGCTGGCAGAATATGCCATACTAAAATATGCCACTTGGCAGAAGGCTTATTTTGAGCTGTGGGCAATTGGGAAAAAGCAGATAAAGGAAAGCTGTCCTCTCTATGTTCCTGAGGCAGGACATAAATGTACAAATGTGTTCTGTTTCCTCTTTTTTTTTTTTTTTTTGACAGGCAGAGTGGACAGTGAGAGAGAGAGAGAGAGACAGAGAGAAAGGTCTTCCTTTGCCGTTGGTTCACCCTCCAATGGCCGCCACAGCCGGCGCACCGCGCTGATCCAAAGGCAGGAGCCAGGTGCTTCTCCTGGTCTCCCATGCGGGTGCAGGGCCCAAGCACTTGGGCCATCCTCCACTGCCCTCTCAGGCCATAGCAGAGAGCTGGCCTGGAAGAGGGGCAACCGGGACAGAATCCGGCACCCTAACCAGGACTAGAACCCGGTGTGCCGGCACTGCAAGGCAGAGGATTAGCCTATTGAGCCATGGCGCTGGCCTTCTGTCTCCTCTTTGTATCAGGAAAGACAAAAGTTAATCTCCTGACACAACTTTCAACCCTTAGCCTGGAGGCAGCACCAGAGAAATTGAAGAATCTACCTAACTTTACCAGTTGGTCTTTTTGTTTTTTAAAAATGTTTTGTTTGAGTGGCAGACAGAATTCCCATATATTGGCTTACTCCTGCAAAGAAGCCAGAAGCTGGAACTCAATCTAGACCTCCCCCATGGTTGGCAGGGACCCAACTACTTGAGCCATCATCTGCCTCCCATGATGCCCATTAGCAGAAAGCTGGAATTGGGAGCAAAGTCGGGACTCAAACCCTAGTACTCCAGTTTGGCTTGTGGTTATCCCAGCAAGCATTTTAACCACTGTGCCAAATGCCTGTTCCATTGGCTGGCCTTGATCTTCCTTTGGTTTCCTATATATTTGCAGTCCCACAAAATGCTGCCCCTAAAGACTCAAGGTATTTTTCTTTTGTCTTGTCACATCTTTTAAAATGTTTATAAGTCCAGATGCTAATTAAACCTTTAAAAAAAGATTTATTTATTTATTTATTTATTTATTTGAAATGTGGAGTTACAGAGAAAGGGGGGAGAGAGAGAGAGAGAGAGAGAGAGAGGGAGAGAGAGAGAGAGATCGATTGATCTTCTATCTGCTAGCTCATTCCCCAAATAGCTGCAATGGCCAGGGCTGTGCCAGGCCAAAGCCAAGAGCCAAGAGCTTCTTCTGGGTCTCCCATATGGATGCATGGGCCCAGGAACTTGGTCCATCTTCCACTGCTTTCCCAGGCACATTTGCAGGGAGCTGGATTGGTAGTGGAGTTGCTGGGACTTGAACTGGCACCCATATGGGTTGCTGGTGCTGGAGGCTGTGGCTTAACATGCTGTGCCACAGCGCCAGCCCTACTAACTTAACTTTTGAGTTACTCATCTCTGCACTCCCATGGGTTATATGGGTGATGCTCAAGTTAATAGACTTCTGTTGTTTTTTTTTTCTTTTTCTCTAGATCTTTTCTTAATCCAATTTACAGAGCCCCATTCAGAGAACCTAGTGTTTCTATGCGAGGAGTTTCATACTCTGCCTTTTTGCTGATGTCAGTCTGCTGTCTTTTTCAAAAAACTAATTCTGTTTATTATTTAAGAGGAATTACAAGATGTCTTCTAAAATTAAAATGACCCACCCAAAAGTGTTTTTTATTTAAAATAGTTTGCTGTATTTCTGTTTTATATCTGACCTTTCTTCATCTAAAAGAGAAAAATTTAAAATGTTAGACAACTAATTACGAACATTAAAACATTAGAATGCAGATAAACTAATATACACACAATGGGAAATTACAAAATTCACAAATTTCATATCCTGCTTAGCATTGATTCTTAACATCTAATGGGTACTGCTGGAATTTTAGCATAAATAATTAGCCTACTAAGGTTTACGGTTGATGTCCCTCTTTTCACTACTTGTGTGTTTATGGATGTTGCTGAGTGTTTGCCTTTACTGTGTCAGCATCAGAATATACTTTTCTCATAATTTCTTAAAGTCATTCACTGTATTAGGGATTTTATAATTTTTTATCATGCAAAAATAGTTTAATACTTTTAAAATCCAAATTTTCCTTAAAATCATTTATGAAAAAGATTTTCAAGTCAGAATTAACACCTCAATTAGTCAAGCATCAGGAAACTACATTACACCTACTTAATGTACAAAGAGACATTTTTTTCACCAGTCATTTTCTTCTTTTTTTTAAAAAAATATTTATTATTTATTTGAAAAGCAGAGTTACAGAGAGGCAGAGAGAGAGAGAAGAGTCTTCCATCTGCTGATTCACTCCCCAGATGGCTGCAATCACCAGAACTGGGCTGATCCAAAGCCAGGAGCCAGGAGATTCTTCCAGGTCTCCCACATGGGTGCAGGGGCCCGAGGAGTTGTCCATCTTCTGCTTTCCCAGGCCACAGCAGAGAGTTGGATTGGAAATGAAGCAGCCAGGAGTTAAACCGGGGCTCATATGGGATGCTGGCACTGCAGGCAGTGTTTTACCTGCTAAGCCAAGCCCCCTGGGTCTTTTTTTTAACTTTTATTTAATAAATATAAATTTCCAAAGTACAACTTTTAGATTATAGCAGCTCCCCACCCCCATAACCAACCTCCCACCTGCAACTATCCCATTCTTCATTAAGCTTCATTTTCAATTATCTTTTTATACAGAAGATCAATTTAGTATATACTAAGTAGAGATTTAAGCTTTGGGGAAGGATGTTTAGGCCTGCAATTTTAATTCTTCAGTGCTTCTCTGCTTTTAAATTGAAGAGTTAAAATTGTATATGTGCGGGTGTCAAAAGTTAAGCTTAAGCTTACAGGTTTAAACCTTCCTGGTGCAGCTGTAAAAATAAGACAGAGTAAAGTAGCACCTTGACAGTGGGGACTCCATTTTGGAGCACTTGAGACTCCATTCTGGGAATGCACCCCCCCACCGTGAGACTCTGGTCTGAAACTATGATCTCAAATAGTCGGACAATAGCAGTGCACTACATCACCCTTGGCAGAGCACAAAAACCCCCTAGCATGATTGCTCAAGCTTAAAAGTAGAAAGGTTGCACCTGGGTTACCTGGGCTAATAAGATGTGATTTGTCTATGTCTTAAGATCATAATTGCTGATTGTAAGATTTTAGCAACCGCTTAGCAACCGTGTATGCTCTCCCTCCTCCTGATTTTGCGGTTTTTGCCTTTATAAACCCTATGCTGTAGTTCCTCACTGCTCCTCTGTCCTTGTCAGAGGGCCCCAACATGTTGGATCAATAAATTTAACCCTTTGCTGGCTGCATGAGAGAAAAAGTCTCTTGGAGTCGTTCCTTGGGTGGTGGGCTTTTTTGGACCCTAACAAAATAAAAATTTTTCATTCACATATCAGGTTGAATAACCCCAGGTTATTTTCAGTGGTTTATTTATTCATTTATTTTGAAAGAGTTAGAGAGGGAGAGAGAGAGAGAAAGAGGTCTTCATCTGCTGGTTCACTCCCTAGTTGGCCACAATGGCCCGATCTGAGCTGATCTGAAGCCAGGAGCCAGAAACTCCCTCCAGATCTCCCATGTGGGTGCAGGGGCCCAGAGACTTGGGCAGCATTCTACTGCTTTACCAGGCCATATTGGAGAGCTGGATCAGAAGTGGAGCAGCTGAGACTAGAACAGGCACTCATATGGGATGCCAGCACTGCAGGGGGTGGCTTTACCCACTGTGCCCCAGTGCCAGCCCATTTTTCCTTAAAAATATTTTGTTCAGAAGTCTGAATGATAGCGTGTGAGGGGGAGGTCTTAAATGTGCAGTTACGCTTGCCCAGTGGGACGCTGATTTTGCAGCAGAAGGAAGCAGCCCAACATGCCATCTGGGCAGGCAGAGGCCCTCCTTAATCTTATTTGTCAGAATCTTTCCTGCAAGCTTTTCCCTTTTCTTGGGGGAATCTCCCTGTGCTCTTTGCAAACTGCTATGAATTAATTAAGTGCTGAGCCTTGAGCCTACTGCTGAGTGTAGAGTACATTGGATTGTGATGCTGAGATAGCCCAGCATTTGGGGAGTGACCCGACAGTAGCAAGATTCATTCTCTCTCTCCCCCCCACCAGCCCGTGTAAATAAATCTTAAAGAAATTTAAAACTCTTTTCTTTTTTGAGGTGGACACTGTGCAGTGAGTGAAGCTACCTCTTGTGTGGTGAGGATCTTGTTCCCGTGTGGTGTCTGGAGGCCCCGGGTGCCTGACTTACAGGCATGGCACCAGAAAACATGAAAACTTGTTCCCGGCTGAACTTCCCCTGTACTAGTCCTTTCTGGACAATTCCATATGAGAAGCAGGTGCTTGTAGATATAGGAGGCAGACGGTAGGAGTTTTCTCTGATTCACAGCTGCATGCAATCTTTAAACAGTAAACTCTCATGTCTGTAGAAATCTACATTTTTTGGCAAACACAAGGTTCCATTCATATTTCTTAGGAAAATATCAATATTTTTGTAGATTCTGTATGCTTGAATTGTTTTTCTTTTGTGTACTGAAAAAGGACATTTTAAATTATCTCAATACAATTCAGGATTGTTAAGTCAGTTGTATAACTTCATTTTTTTTAAACACATTCTAAGGACATTTTGTGTGTTTTAGAATTTGTTATGTGAATTAAAATTTTTTATTTGAAAGCAGAGAAGCACAAAGACAAAAAAAAGTATTTAAATGTTAAACAATTTTCCCACTAAAATTACCTACTCATTCACAAGAAAAGGGGACATATTGGCTGTGGCCATGCATACCGGCCGCAGCTCAGTGGAAGCTGAACTCGCTGGGTCTGCTGATATTTCCATGGGTCAGCCACCTCGGAAATCGCATGCCAGAGGGGCCTCGGGCTTCCAGGGATTTGGGGAGCCATCCGGGAAGCCACCTTTGCTCTGGGATTGGAAGTTGCTCGCAAGTGTGGTCAGTGGCAGGGTGTCCCTCACCAGGCTCTTGCTGCTTAAATCTGGCATTTTCCAAAGAAATCGCTGCTCAGGGGCCAGCTATCAGCAGAGCCACACCGAGCATGCGGGCCATCCTAGCCGCCCACTCGATCTCCCAGGCCACAGAGAGTGCCCTATGGTTTGACCTCAAGGTCCTGGAGCCAGAGCAGCTGAGGTCGGTAACACACGTGGCTGTCACAGGCGTGCTTCCTGCGTGAGCCCACTCCCCATGGAAGCCTGCCCCTCACTGCTCACCCCTCTGCTAATCCCAATCTGTGTCCATTCATGGTGGCCCTGATAAAACTGAGCTGCTGAGCTGGGTCCTGTCGACCCTCCAGGTGAATCCCTGAGCCTGAGGATGCTTCTGGTGACTTCTGTCCTGGGAAGCCAGGCAGTTGTGTGCTTGGGAATTTGTACAGCTCTGGTCTGGAAGCCAGAAAGGATGGACTTGGCCTAGAAGTCATTTATGAAGCAGCAGACTCAGTTTTATGGGCTTGGGGACTGCTTCAGCTTTCTCTGTGGTTCACCTAATTCTCATTCTGGGTGAGGACAGTGTTCGTGCACTCTATATAACCAGCTCAATATTTCGTTTTTACTTTTTAATATTTATTTGAAAGGCAGAGTTACAACTGGGAGAGGGAGGGGGAGAGGGAGGGAGGGAAGGAAAGAGAGAGGGGGAGGGAGAGGGAGAGAGGGAGAGAAAGAATGAGTGAATATGAATGGGAGAGAGAGGTCTTCCATCCAAGTGGCTTCAGCAGCCAGGGTTGTGTCAGGCTGGAGCCAGGAGACAGGACTCCATCCGTGGCTCCCACAGGGGCGGCAGGGGCCCAGGCACTGGGCCACCCTCCGCTGCCTTCCCCAGGTGTAGCAGCAGAGAGTGGAATCAGAAGTGGAGCAGCCAGGACCCTGAACGGTGCCCATGTAGATGAGGGTCACAGGCAGCGACTGAACCACTGCCCCCTCTTTGACTGACTGTATCTGTAATTGTTTTAACTGTTTCCCATAAATTAATTCAGTTAGTATGTACACATTTGGTTACACCTCCAAAACTATAATTCATAGGTGTTATAAAGAAATCTTTAGTGAGTTAACTCGCACCCACAGGTTATGAAGACAGCAAGTGCAGACAGGATTAAGGCTGGCAACAAGCCCAGTCTTTGGATCTCTCTCGTATACCAGGCCCTGTACACTCAACATCCAAAATCCTGCTCCTGATTCCTCAGGGCTGGGGGGGGGGGGGGCTGGTGGGAAACCTTACCCATGCCCTTGCAGTTCTGCTGCTTGAGTGTTTGCAAGAAAATGAAGAGATTTTAGTGTAAAAAGTGGGTTCAGTCTACAAGACAAGGGACTTGTAGGAAAAGAACCCCTGCCCCAAGGCTGTGGGGAAGGCGAAGGGGCAGGGGAAAGTGAGGAGGGCGAGGGGGAAGGGGAGGGGGCTGTGGAAATTGGGGGCTGTGGGGGAGGCGAAGGGGCCATGGGGAAGGGGAGGGGTGGGGCAAGGAAAGGGGCCATGGGGAAGGGGAGGGGATGTGGGGAAGGGAGGGGGCCACGGGAAGGGGAGAGGGCGTGGGGGAAGGGGAGAGGGCATGGGGAAGGCGCGGGGCTGTGAGGAAGGGGAGTGGGCGTGGGGAAGGCCCGGTGGTGTGGGCTGTGTTTCCTGTGGAGACGGAGGCCGCAGCGGCCACCCCGCATGGCCGTGTCCTGACAGGTCAGGTGAGCACATTCAGGGACGGCCCAAGGGTCTTCCTGGGAGTGCGGGAGGGTCAACCAGGCAGGGATTCCGAGTAGAAGGAAAATACTCAGGGCTTCTTTTACTTTGCGTCACGTGATGTCTTCTGTCACACGTGATGCTCCTGTCGCCGGAGTCCCGCCGCCTTCCTGGGCCGCTGTGTGGCCAGTGACAGGTGTCGGAATGGACGGGTCAGCCTGCTGTCGGCTATTCCAACCGGCGACGCATGGCCCGGCAAACCCTGTGCCTGCTGCAGAGCAGCTGAGCGAGGCCCGGGAGCGCTCGGGACCCAGCGGTGGAGGAACTGAGGGCAGGATGGCGGTGGGCGCCCGGAGGGGCGGATCTGAGAGGCAGAAGGCGGGAGCGCCGGCTGTCGTTCACTCCCCACCGCTCCCCACCGCTGCGGGGGCTCAGGCGCAGCCAGGCGTCGACCCCCGAGCCCCCAGGTCCACAGCAGCAGAAGGCGGGGCCGGCCTCTGACAGGGACCCCGGCCGCCCAGCGGGGTCGTCAACGCGGGCGCCAAGGCCTCCCCGGGAATGGGTCCCTGTGCCTGCAGATTAGTACTCGGTGTTCTCAAACATGGAGAATCCCAGGGCTCCTTACAGGAAGCAGGATTCCCTTGGCACAGCCTGTTTCTGAGTTCCTGCTTGCCCAGTGCCCGTGAGGACAAGGAGGAAGGCGAAGCCAAGTCCGTGTCTGTTTCGTCCAGTGTCAGCGTCTTCATCAATTCATGACGATTCTCCCCTCCCCTTCTCGACCCTGCAAACCCGGCGAAGCACAGGGGCAAAGCCTCACCGAAGCTCACGGCGACAGTGACAACTACAATGACATTTCGGTTCTGACTGTCGGGTGTTTCACGATCTCGCCGAGCCCTGAAGCCAGGGAGCATTCCAGATGTCACTGAGGGCCAAGTACAATTGTCCGTCCTTACACACACGGCGCCCGCTGTTCCAGGTACGCCCCAGTGGCTCCAGTGTCCGCCTCCACCTGCGTGGCCTTCTGGAAAACGCTGAGGCCTCGGGGTGGAGGGGACTTGGGGGACAGTGCAGCACGGGGCGCGGGCCAGTCGGGATCACCGTCGGCACCCACGTCCCCGTGTGCGTTTCTGGAAACGTGGAGATTCCCGCCCCCAAGACTGCAGGGTTCTGCGGGCTCACCCGGACACCGGTGGTCAGGGGCCCGGCCCTCAGCACCCGGGCAGCCCTAGAGAGCGGGTGCGGACTGCACGGCGGGTCACGCGCTCTCAGACCCGCGTCCAGCAGGCGGGAGAAGCCCTGGGTCTCTGGTCGGGGCGCAGTCTGACCCGGGATGCCCTAGTCTCCATCCCTACACCAAACACGGGCCCAGAGGTCCCCACAGGACGCGGCACCCAGCGCTCAGGTCGGAGCTCAGCGGGGAGCCCGAGAGGGGAGCGCTGTGTGCGGGACCCCAGGGCAGGCCGGGAGGACGCCCGCTCCCCCCATCAGATCCTGGGTCCCATCCCCAGCTCTGCTCCGGACTCCGGCTGCAGGGGTGGCTTGGGCGCTCTGGCCCAGCACGGAGAGACCCGGATGGCGCTGCCGCCCCAGCACTGCAGGCCTGGGGAGTGACCCGGAAGGGAGCTGGGTCTGACTTCCGCCCCCAGCACTGTGTCTTCCATGGCACAGCTGTGGACCCCAGTTCCCACCCTGCTGCCCGCTCTGCTGAGGGGTGGGGGACATGGAGCAGCCCACCGTGACCCCCTGGGCCTCTGGCTGTTCGCTTCAGTTAAAGGGGAAGAGACCCAGGAAGTGTTAGGAGTCAAGTGTACGGGAGGTGCAATCACAGACGGCTTTCTGGAGGAGGTGGCACTTGAGCCAGGTCCTGTAAAGGGACAGGCAGCCAGGTCGGGAGAATGAAGGCAGCTGTGAGAGGCCGACACGTCCAGCCCCAGGGGTGCTTCTTCCAGGTGACACCCCGGTAGCCACCGCCAAGAACATGCCTGGGGACAGCGCAGATCTGTTTGGGGACACCGCGGCAGAGGACAGCGGTGCGGCCAACGGGGCCTGTGGCCCACAGTCATCATCAGGGAGCAGGAGCACCGCATCGACCTGCACATGATCCGGCCGCACATGAAGGTGGTCACCCACAGAGGTGAGGCCCCCCGTTACCACGTGGTCACCCACGGAGGGGAGATCCCCCCCCCCGTACCAGTGCTCACCTACGGAGGTGAGACCCTACCCTAGTACCCGTGGTTGCCCACAGAGTTCAGACCCCCCCCCGGGTACCCGTGGTCACCCACAGAGGTGAGGCCCCCCTGGTTACCTGTGGTCACCCATGGAGGGGAGGCCCCCCAGTTACCACGTGGTCACCCACGGAGGGGAGAGCCCCCCCATACCAGTGCTTACCCACAGAGGTCAGACCCCCCCCGGGTATCCGTGGTCTCCCACGGAGGTTTGGCACCCCCCTGTTACCTGTGGTCACCCATGGAGGGGAGGCCCCCCAGTTACCACGTGGTCACCCACGGAGGGGAGATCCCCCCGTACCCACAGAGGTCAGACCCCCACCCCCGTATCCGTGGTCACCCATGGAGGTGAGACCCCTCCGGTTACCTGTGGTCACCCACGGAGGTGAGACCCCCCTCCCTGGGTACCCGTGATCACCCACGGAGGTGAGACCCCCTCGGGCACCCGTGGTCATCCTGGAGGTTAGACCCGGAAGACTCTCTGTGCCCCTGTGTGGCTCAGAGCCCAGCGATGGCTGCCCTCACAGGCTACCACAGCGAGGGCCTCAACGCCATCATCGTCTATGCCGCCAGCTTCCTCCAGGACAGCAGCTGCCCAGACTACCACTATGTCCTGGAGAACCTCTTCCTGTGAGCGGGCGGGGAGGGGCCAGGAGGGCAGGGCGGGCAGGAGGCAGGGCAGGCGGGGGGCGGGGAGGGGCCAGGACGGGCAGGGCGGGCGGGAGGCGGGGCGGGGAGGGTGGGCGGGAGGCGGGGCGGGCGGGGACCGTCGCTCGCCCAGGCTCCCCCTGCTGGCCCACTCTGGGCCTTCCCTGGGCGCCGGGGCTCCGCAGCCGCCACACCACACACGTCCATCACCAACACCATCAACACCATCATCATCATCACCACCAATACCGTGAACACCATCACCGTCACCATAGCCATCGCCAGACCCGTCCTGCGGGGACCCGAGGGGCTGCAACACGGCCCCCGCCCCTCCCCACAGCCCGCGGCCCCTCCCCAGCGCCCGCGGCCTCTCCCCAGCGCCCCCGGCCCCCTCTCAGAGCCCTGCGCCCCCTCCAGAACCCCCGCCCCTCCCCAGCGCCCAGCGCCCCCTCCAGAGTCCACGACCCCGCCTTGAGCCCCGCGCCCCCTCCCCAGAGCCCCCCGCCCTCCCCACAGCCCGCGGCCCCTCCCCAGCGCCCCGCGCCCCCTCCTCAGAGTCCCGCGCCCCCTCCCCAGAGCCCTGCGGCCCCCTCCCCAGCGCCCCGCGCCCCCTCCCCAGAGCCCCCCGCCCTCCCCACAGCCCGCGGCCCCTCCTCAGAGTCCCCGGCCCCCTCCCCAGAGCCTCCCAGCCCCTCCCCAGCGCCCGCGGCCCCCTCCCCGAAGCCCCCGCCCCTCACCAGGGCACGCGGCCCCCTCCTCGGAGTCCCCCGCCCCTCCCCAGCGCCCGCGGCCCCTCCCCAGCGCCCCGCGCCCCCTCCTCAGAGTCCCCGGCCCCCTCCCCAGAGCTCGTGGCCCCCTCCTCAGAGCCCCACAACCCCCTCCCCAGAGCCCCCGCCCCTCCCCAGCGCCCGCGCCCCCTCCCCAGAGCCCGTGGCCCCCTCCTCAGAGACCCCCCAACCCCTCCCCAGCGCCCGCGGCCCCTTCTCAGAGCCCTGCGGCCCCTCCCCAGCGCCCGCGGCCCCTCCCCAGAGCCCCCGCCCCTCCCCAGAGCCCCCGCCCCTCCTCCGAGCCCCGCGCCTCGCCCGAGCGGGGACCCCCGGATCCCCGAGGCCCTCGGGGGAGGCCCGGGCCGGGCCGGGCGCGGCCGCCCTGACCCCGACCCGCTGCCCCGCGCAGCTGCGTCGTCGGCAGCCTGGAGTCCTGGTGGCCGAGGACTGCGGGATCCTGTACCTGAAGGGCGCCAGCCCAGCGCAGGATGCCGGCCTCGGCGGCTCAGGAAGCTGCCAGAGGACAGACAGGAGGCGCGGGCGCGGGCGCGGGCGCGGGCGGCTCTGCGCTCGGCCCGCCCGGCCCCTCAGCTGCCCTTGGCTTGTGGACGCGGCCCTCACGCCGCCCCTGCCGCCCTAAAATCTGTTTCTGGCCACCGCCTACCAAATCTGCTTTCTGTTCATCTCTGCCTCCTCAGTTTCTAGCAGGTGGAGAAATGGGAGCTGGAAAACCTTCCGGGTTTGTTCTCTCCTGAGTTTTTTCTTTGGCTGTCCCAGCTGTTAGCATGGAGACTTGGTCACCAACAGAAAACTCCCTTTTATGAAAATGCTAGCATGTAACTAAGTGGTTTATGCATTTTAGGATTTTCTGTCAGTTTTATAATTTTTTTGAAGAACGAATGATCTGTTTAATCATGGGAAACTATTGTTTCATAACTAAACTTTGAAATATGTATTTTGAGAACTTATATTTATACTTAATATATATTATATATTATATTGGCATTGATTAGCATTTTAAGTTTCTTTAGTAAAAGTATTTTTATTCTACCAAATCTGCTTTCTGTTCACCTCTGCCTCAATTTCTATAAATGTATAAATTTATATATATAATTTATAAAAAGTATAAATTTTTATAAATGTATAAATTTTTAAGGAAAAAACCTGTATTATACTTCATTTATTCTTCTTAGTAATTACATTGATGGCATTATTATGCAAATTAGGGGTGCTTGTGGCTGCAAGATGAGTATTTTTCCTAAAAGAAGAACAAAAGATAATTTAGGGAAGGGGCAAGGGGACATTTTATTTTTGGCTAATATACTGCATAGAACTGTTACACAGCTATTCAACTGAAACATTGCTTTGCAATCTCCATTATTTTAGTGTGTTTTTAAATTTTTTTCCAGGAGATTCTAATAAAAATGGAAGAAGAACCAAGTTCTGCTTTGGACTCTGAAGAGACTTTTAATTCTTGAAGGTAGGTAGTAAATACAGAGATATACAATATTACAGGATAATGTATAAGATCCAATATCTTAGAGGATTCTAATCTTAGAATAAATAGCAAGGAACTAGGACTTGTGCTTTTAAAATGTGATAATATTACTGTGATATGTGATTATCTGCAGAAATAATGAGTATCAGAAAATGTAATAACCCAAATTCTTGTAAATGAGCTTACATCAGATATCTGTTGCTCTCCTATCCTACAGCACACTAATTAGAACAAATGTACATGTAGTATTAACCTTTATTATAATTTGTTTTTTTGTTTTTCCCATATATCTTTTACAGTACTAAAGACTTCTTTCGGAGTACCTACGAAAGGTTAAAATGCAAATGTGATTGAATTAAGAGCTGTTTGTTAATGCCCTTTTAGGGCTCTTCAGCCAATAGGGCTGTTACAGCTCAAACAGGAAAGGATTCAGTTGGCAGGCCAACACTGCTGTCAAATAGTTTTATAGTATTTAAAGTGTGAAATTAATATTTTTCTACCCAGTAGGCAGTAGCTCTTATAATGTAATAAGCTTAATTGTGAATTTGGCACTTGGGTTAAATGTAGCATTCATAGAAGCACAGTGCTGGTGTATATTTTCTTATTAATATTAATAGACAAAACCTAGAAAAATGTAGCAGTGTCACATTAAAATAGCCACAGAATTATTAGTAAAATTTGCTTCAGAAGATGAAAATTATTTTTCTGTTGCCATTATAGCTCTTTTAAACTAGCTAGTAACAGGTTATTAAAAATATATAAATTTTCCAGTGTTCAGAAGTCCTTTTGTGTAACAACTATTTAAACTGCCTCAGAAATCCTAACCTTTCTTCATGATCGGATAGCTCAGGCCTTAAGCCTACCACTGACATACTAGAGCTTATGTCTAGGGTAACGAGCTAGTTTCTCATCTGTAAAAAGTGCATTATATTGTCTGATCTGCTTCCTTCCCACAACTTTTAAATACGGGGTAAAACATGTAAAACAAAGCCTCTTGAAAATCTAAATGCAGGGCCTGTTCCGTGGCTCACTAGGCTAATCCTCCGCCTGTGGCGCTGGCACCCCGGGTTCTAGTCCCTGTTGGGGCGCCAATTCTGTCCCAGTTATTCCTCTTCCAGCTCTCTGCTGTGGCCCAGGAAGGCAGTGGAGGATGGCCCAAGTGGTTGGGCTCTGCACCCACATAGGAGACCAGGAGGGAGCACCTGGCTCCTGGCTTTGGACTGGCGCAGTGCGCTGGCCTTAGCAGCCATTTCGTGGGTGAACCAATGGAAGGAAGACCCTAACTGTGCCTGTCAAAAAAAAAAAAAAAAAAAAAAAAAAAAGAAGTGATATCTGGAACTATAACAAATAAATTATGGAACTTAAATCTATGGACACTAACTACAGCTTCATATGTCTAATACTCACAGATTTATTTTTATGGCCTATGAGGTTTTACAATGATTTGTATTTCTTAGTGGTTTTCTTCATTGATTCAGAGAGGTAGAAAACAAATGGATTTAACTCCTGAGACACTTGTATGGGGTTATATGATGCCTGAATGGTTTTAGGCCACATCTTGTTTTGGAAGTGTTGGTTTAAATTTAAGTATTTGGCTTCCAACTAATTTGCAGTGATGTGTTATGAGAATATATTACTAGTTTTATGCAGTACATCTTACAGGTTTTATAGACCAATGTTATATGTTTTTTGTCAAGTTACATGTGAGAGAAAACTGCCAGATGTGAAGGAAGAGAGAGTTTCCTGTGTGTGCTGCAGTGGATGTTTAACTTAGGGAATGGAGCACACATGGCCACATGGTGGAAGGAATGTTGTTTCTCCATCCTCCACCCCCTTCCCAAGGGCAACTGACCTCCTTGCCAAAAGAGGCGAGCCCTTGCCAGCCCATATGACTACAGACTATTACATTAATCTGTCTAGCTGCAGTACCAGCTGCTTGCATGTTTTTAGTTATCTTATTAGATGGTATAACAGTGACCTATGAAATTAATTGAAGGTGAACATTGTTAACTTCTCTTTTATTACCCTATGTTTCCCCAAATCTTTTTGATTAGATTATAACTTTCTACAAAAGTTCCTAGGAAGTCTGTTTGGTTTTTGATTCATGTAATTTTTTTAAGGTCTTTAAAGTATAATGTCATACTGCACAGTATAGAAAATAATTTAATTTTTGTCTCATTTATTGATAGATTTTAGTCTGTTTATATAGTTGAAAAGCCATAGTAAACTTACCTTATTAGACAATTAAGTTAGATTGAACTCAGACCAATTATTTGGCATTCTCTGAGAAACTCAAAATACTCCTTTATCTTGGCATTGCAGAAATGGCATAGTATAGAATGCAAATTATTGTATCTTGCTTTAAAATAAATTTTAAATCATATTTACCTCTTCTCTAGATTCATATATATGGTAGTTTATCACCAAGTTTACTCTATTTTTTAATTTAATTTAACTTGGCATCATTGATGAGTATATTTTCCCAAGCTGTGCTGTTAGGAAAAAATGTATTATCCTCTGATTTTGACAAAGGGATAATTTTGAAGTAATAATCTTTAAATGTGATGTTGACTTTAAGAGACACACAAAATAATAAAAACTAATGATAATCAATTATAAGTCTTAGCCAGTGTTCTATTATAATAATTTAGCTAGGGACCCTGATGCTGAATCTAAGAAAATAAAAAAGTTTCTGAATGCAAGAAAATCACAAAATACTTCTTTGTATCTTTAGATAATAAATCCTACCATTGATATAGTAGGGTGACTGGAGACTTAATTCTTAAGACATGATGTTTGTGACTCCTGTTTTTTTTTAATGTATTCATACTTTCTGACAGGTGTTTTACTCTGAAGAAATACTAATTTCATATTCCAAAAGAATTTTAATTGAAGAATAAAAGGAATGTTTCTATATATATATATTTTATATATATAATATATATTTTTTAAGGAAAGACAGTAAAAGTTACTTGGCTTCAAATAGTGGTGGTCTAATTTCTTATGTTGAAGAGAGCTTCCAAAATCATTTCCCTTTCTCAACATGTTATGTTCTCTATATCACTGAGTCAGAGACTACCTTGGTAAAATGTTTTTTATTATTATTCTATTAAAATATTTTTGATTAGCATGCAATACTGTCGCTCCCCCATTCGCGGAGGAACGACACTGGACTCTGTGCTGTTCTTTTGTCTGCTCAGCCCTTCCCGGGTTTGCTGCCAGTCCCCCACTCGCGGAGGAACGACGCCGTCCCGGGTTAGCTGCCGGCCCCTCCACCTCCGTGGAGGGGCGGCACCCCCCCGCCGCTTTCCCTGCTTCCGCGGAGGAGCGGCACACCGCCGGCCCTCTCGGGGGCTGCTCAGATGTTCCTCAGGTGTTCCCTCAGATGTTCCTGGTGCATGTTGTCTCTCTCCTCCTTTATAGTCCTCTTCCACCAATCCCAACTCTGCTACCCACACGCCAAGCACGCTGCTCTCCTCCTCCAATCAGGAGCAGGATCAGCTCCTGCAGCTTATCAGTCAAACCGATGAGGCAGCTGCGTAGTTGTTTGCTCCTCCCCAGTGCCATATTGTGGGAGAGCAGATGCATAGAATTAGTCCTAGTTCCAGTAATTTAGTCTAGTCTCAGTTGCTCCCCACACAATACTTTTATGGTACAGTATTTCACTACATATACAAAGCATACCTGAAACCAGGAAATAGCTTTTCTATGTCCTCAGCTTATCTGTGTTCTGGTAGCTACTAGTTTCTCTCTCCCGGTTCTTTGTGCAGTGTATAATACATTATTGTGAGCTATAGTGGAACAGGAGCACTGTGCTGTGAACACTGGAACCAGTGCCTTCTGTCTGTGTTTGGTGCCTGTTACCCAGTCTCCTTCCATTCTCTCTCGCCATACCCTTCCCAACCTCATTGTGGTTTTGATTTACATGTCCCTGAAGGCTAGTGATATTGAACATTTCTTCATGCTTTTGTTTTCTTTTGTGTTTCCTCTCCAGAGAAATATCTATTCAGATTCTTTGTCTGTTTGTTAACTGGATTGTTCCGTTTTTGTGGTGTTTGGGGTTCTGTACATGTTCTGAGTCATAGTCCTTTGTTAGATGCACAGCTTGTAACTGTTTTCTGTCAGCTGTGATTTGTTCCTTTTGCTGTACAGAAGCTTCTTAGCTTGGGATGATCACATTTGTCTGTTTCTCCTTTCCTCTCTGTGCTCTTGGGGTCTTTTTTTTTAAAAAAAATAATGTTTGCCAATGTTTTCCCCCAGGGGTTTCATAATTTCAGGTCTTACATTTATGTCTCTTCCATTATGAGTTGATTTTAGATTATGGTGAGAGGCATGGGATGACATTTTGGATTCTGGGTATGGATATTTTATTTTAAAGATTTATTTATTTTTACTTGAAATGCAGAGTTATAGAGAGGCAGAGGCAGAGGGAGAGAGAGGTCTTTCATCTGCTGGTTCACTCCCCAGATGGCCACAATGGCCAGAGCTGCACCGATCCAAAGCCAGGAGCCAGGAGCTTCTTCCAGGTCTCCCACATGGGTGTAGGGGCCCAAGAACTTGGGCCATCTTCTACTGCTTTTCCAGGCCACAGGAGAGAGCTGGATCAGAAGTACAGCAGCCAGGACTGGAACCAGTGCCCATATGGGATGCCAGCATTGCAGGTGGTGGCACTGCTAAGCCATAGTGCGGCCCCGTGGGTATGGATATTTAGGTTTAGGTTTCCCAGCACCACTTATGTAAGAGACTGTCCTTTCTCTGGTATGAGTTTTATCAGATTTATCAAAGAGCAATTGGCTGTAGGTATGTAGATTAATTTTTGAGATCTCTATTTTGTTCCAATAGTCTGTATGTCTGTTTTTATGCTGATACCATACTCTTTTGATTACAGTAACTCTATAATATGTCTTGAAATCTGATGTTGTGATGCCTCCAACTTTGTTGTTCAAGATATCTTTATCTATTTGAGTTCTTTTAAAGTCCTT